TCTCTCATATTTCGGACATATTGTCAGGGGAGACCAGTTGCTGGAGAAGGATATCATGTTTGGTAAGGTGGAGGGTCAGAGAAAAAGAGGAAGACTCCCAATAAGATGGTTTGGCCAAGTGGTAGCATCGATGGACTTAAGCATGGCAACAGTAGTGAGGCTGGCCCAGGATCGGGCAGTGTTTCGTTCTGCTGTGCATAAGGTCGCTATGAGTCGGTACCTACTCGATGGCACCTAACAACAAGTCGAGCTCTGGTCAAGCCATCAAAGCTGGATCAAATGGGTACTATCTGCAAGTTTGGGCATTCTTATGCATCTCCCCCACTTCATATCAGCTGGAAGCTTCACTCTGAGCTCTAGTCCTCTGCTGCTAGGTAAATGTTCATGGGCTCAGTAGTTCTCAAGCCTTCCCAAACATCAGACCAACCAGCCTTTCCTCTTCTCTCTCTCATCATGAGGTCGACAGGAGTCTATGGGAAAGCTAATGTAATGCTTTTGATATTTTGCATGTTGAAAATTATGTACAATGTGTACAACAGAAAAAGAAAACACAGAGGGACTAGAAGAAAGTACTGTTGAATGATGATGAATGGAGGGGATTGTAATCATTGCAATGAAATGAATACGATAGGATGAGTGTAAAACTGATGTTCTCCCATGTAAACTATCACTCAATTCACAACAAAAGCTTTTAAACAAACAGTGGAAGAAAGGGAAAATTAAGTACGAGTGAGAGGACATAAGTTTGGGGGAAGTTTAAACTTTAAAAGACCTCCACACTCAGATTTTTTTGTAGGTATCACTAAGTTCTCATTTAATTTTAATAAACCTAAGGCTAAAATTCACAGGTAGTACATTCTGAATGTGGTTTATATCAAAGAGATGACATGACACTGGAATTCAAAGGGGTCTTGGCACCATGACAAATACTGACAAATGAGGGCACAGAAGTGTGGTTAGAAATAAAATGTTTGTGGTATATATGTATGACTTTTAATGAGTTCTTGTTTAACATACTTTTTTAATTCATCAACCTATCTTGATTGCTTTCTATTATAACAAACTATAATCCCATGGCCAATTAACCAATTGGGGTTTATCCCAGGAATGCGGGTCAATTAATTATGCATTACATTAATCGGACAAAAGAAGACAATACAATAATCTTGACAAATGTCAAACTGCTGCTGTTGTTAAGTATTGCTCAGTCAGTTCCCACTCACAGCAACCTTGTATAGGGTTTCTGAGTAGTGGTTGGTGAGTCCGAACCACCAACCCTGTAGTTAGCAGTCCAGTGCTTATCCTACAGAGTTACACTCTCATATTAAACTAATTTTAAGCTATTAATAAACTATGACAAGAAGGATACAACCTTAACAAAATCAAGATTATCTATCTAAAATGAAAAATCATAATCAACAGGCAAATGGTAGTGGCATTCTCATTAGAACTAGTGACTAAGCAAACTTGCCTGCTAGCATCTCAATGATCAAATGTTATTCTGGAAAAGGAATGTTGTTGTTAAGTACTGTCAAGTCGGTACCCACTCATAGCGACCCTGTATAGGATTTCTAAGGAGCGGCTGGTGAGTTTGAACCACCGACCTTACGGTTCAAAGTGACCATGCAGTCCAGCGCATTAACCCACATTGCCACACCGGGCCTCCTGGAAAAGGAATAAGGTATAACTATTAGAAAGAAGTCGGAACCAACTCAACTATAAGAACTAGATACTAGTCTGTTACCAAGTGGTGGTTATGTGCTGTGGAGTCGGTTCTGACTCATAGAAAACCTGTGTAGGGTTTCCCAGGCTGTAAATTTTTATGAGAACAGAAAGCCTCATCTTTCTCCAGTGGAACTGCTGGTAGTTTCAAACTGCTGACCTTGAGATTAGCAGCCCAGCTCGTAACCACTACACTACCAGAGCTTCATTTTCAAGAAGACATACAAAAATACTGTTTTCCCCTATACTGAAAAAAGAGCTTGGGAGCACAGTGGCTCTGCAGAATAAGCAATGGACTATGAATCACAAGGTCAGCAGTTCAATCCTAACAGCTGCCCCATGAGAGAAAGATGAGGCTTTCTGCTCCTGCAAAGATTCACAGCCTCAGAGACCCTTACACAGGGTGGCTATGAGTCAGAACTAACTCTACAGCACTTAACAACAGCAACAGTTACACAATGTCATAAGGAAAAAAATCATTCCATTTTGAAGCTCAACAAATAGCGTAGTTGTTATGAATTGGGCTGCTAACCTCAAAGTCAGCAGTTCAAAACTACCAGCTGTTCCTAGGGAGAAAGATGAGGATTGCTGCTCTTGTAAAGATTTACAGTCTCAGAAACCCTATACAAAGTTGCTATGAGTCAGAACCGACTCATAACCAGCAAATGATATAAAATGCCTAAGAATAAATCTAATAAGAAATGGGTTGTTGATGTTGTTGCTAAGTGCCATCAAGTCTGTTCCAACTCAAAGCAACCCTGCATAGGGTTTCCAAGGAACAGGTGGTGGGTTTGACCAACTGGCCTTAGGAGTTAGCAGTCCAGTGCTTATCTTACAGTTCCATACCAGGGTTAGACATGAGTTGGATCTATATAAAATATGCTTGCAAAAAAATCAAAGAAAACTCTTTTATGAGACAGAAAAGAAGACAACAGTGGAAATTAGCAAATAAAATGATAATAGTTAAAACTTAATGGATATACATATAATGTAATATAGTAACATGGAGCCATTATCTTTAAAAAGAAAACCATAAAGATGTGGAAAAATATTCATAATATGCTTTCAAGTTTAAAGAAATGGTCAGATTATTAAAAAGCATAATATCATTCCAATTTTGTTTTTTTAAAAGCTGTACAAATGCTTTAAAAGTATCCCTAAGTATAGATGCACCAAGACCTTAATAGCATTTTTCTCTAAGTAGTAAGAGAAAATTTTTAACTTTTGGTCTTATATTTTGTTGTGTTTCCCACAATGGATAAATTTTTACAAAATAAAAATAAAACTATAGATTGCCTCCTCCTAGAGTCCTGTTTTCTTATTTCAGCCCATAAGGCATTCAATATAAGAGTATCTACCCTTGGCATTGGGAATGGAATTTAACTCACTGCCTTTTAGCTCTTTTAGCTACTCCTATCTCATACACCTTCCCCAGAAGGTGAGAGGCTCCCAGTGGCCCTCAGTGAGGGGCTTCATGAATGCATATTGAAGAGGAGACATGGAAGTCATCTGCCAATCGGGGCCTATGACACCAAGAAAAATCAGCTGAGCAGGCAGAAAGTAGCCCTGCTGTGAATTATAGGGTGAACATTGGCCTCCAACAGACCTTTCAGAATCTACTGGGACAGCTGGGAGTTCCTCACTCACACAAACCTTCCATGCAACTGAGAGGAACAGAGAAAAGTAGTCTGCTTGTTCCAATAGCCAGGATTTATCTAGAGATTTCCCGACTCCCACTGGTCCATATGACCCCACCCAACCCCTCAAACCTCACATCAGCAAACAGGATTCAGATAAACCCCAGAATGTTCCAGGAGCTAACAACAGGGCTGTCAGTTTCTGAGAACTTACCCCATGCCTTTCTCCCGTCCCTCCCTCACTGCACTGGGGAGTGAGAGATGACTGCTTTTTGCTGGGGTTCAGGAAACACCTCCCTCACTCCCCTCCCATTCTTCCCTCCCCTGCACCCATTCTACTCCCTACCCCCACCCCCCAGGGGAAGTGAAGGAGCCCACGAGCAAGTAAACAATACATACATGAGGACTGGATGGAGAAGCTGCCATGTTAATGGGGGCCGAACCCGACAGACCGTCTGCAAGCTACAAATTAAACATGCTGGTTAGCCACAGGATTAGAGAAAGCACTTCTGGGAAAACTGGACAGCATCAAGAAGGTGGGACTCTTCCAGCCAAGTGCCCTCTGCTCCCCTTCCAGGGAAGCAGCAAGGGTTGGAGAAAGAGCATGGTTTGGAGTTGGCCAAGTCCGGCTCCATGGCTCTACCACCTATGCGATCTTGGCCAAACCTGCTAGCTTCTCATAGCCTACCTCACAATGCAACTGTCCTAGGAATAAGGCAAAGGGCGTGCACACCCAGCTCAGGATGCGGCACACGGAAGGCACTCAGTCAGTACCTGTTTCTCTCCCACGTTCTCACTGCCCTTGGCACCCGCTAACTCAATGTCATCCTCTCAGGAGTGCCTGACTTTCCAACACCTCAGGGTTGGAAAGCATCTGGGCCAACCCACCCAGCACTGGGCCAGCTCTTTGTGGGCATGGTTCCCACGCAATTTTGAGTTTCAAAATCTGCTCTCCTCAAGGACAAGAACCAGGGCATCCTAGGACTCACCCAAAACCCTAGATCAGGGGGAACTTTAAGCATCTTATAGTCCAGCCTGCCATCCTTATACTGTAGAAAACCTGCTTTCTTTTCTGGGCATCAAACGCTTGCTTGCAGTCTCCCAGTACCTCACAGGGTGAATCCCTGAGCTGCAAGATTGAGGAGGGATCGGGGCATCAGGACTAGACTTGTTCAGAGGTTACCCTAGTTGTCCAGGGAGGGTGATGGGGCCCTGGGTGAATAAGTACCAGTCTACTCAGTGGACAAGGGAAGGAGATGCATTCTAGGTAGGGAAAATAACAGTTGCAAAGGTGAGAGGAGTCAAGAAGACAGCACATTCAGGACACAGCATAGAGATTAGGAAAGCAGGGCCTGAGGAAGCAAAAAAGGAGGAGAGGTTAGGTGAGCAGCAAGGACTAGAGCTCTTACGGATAGACCTTCCCTGCCTTTGAGCCCAAGCAGGAATTTCTGGAAGGAAATCCCATCCTGTCATCCTTCCTCAGCAGGAAGTTCTTGGGAGATGGTACCCTATGGAGACCTAGAAGGGCTTAGATAAAGACCTGCTGGAACCTAGAGCATGGAACCCACAGGCCCTCTGTGCTGTGTGGAGAGAACCCTGCTGACTGGAACCCTCCCCTGCACTCAGAGCTGCTCAGAGCTGGAGGCACAGGCAGAAAGGCAGATGGCTGATGGGTACTCAGCTGGGCTGTGAGATGGCTCAGGGGCAATGACCACATGTTGGTGGGCATGCAGTGAGCCTGGAAAAGACCAGATGAACTGTAGGCGAAGTCCCCAACCAGCCAGACGCTAGCCCAACTGGGCAGTGGCTCTGCCTTCCTGTTCTCATCCTGAACCCTACAGAAGCCTTGTTTTTATTTTTAATATAGTTCTGTTTTAAGAAAGGTATGAGGGAAACCAGCAGTTCACCAGAGTAAGAGGGAGAAAAAAATTAAACTAAACATAGTATTCCAAAGAACTGATGGAGCTTCAGAAATTACACGTTCCCCTTTGGGACCTGGCATAATTTACCACTCAGGTTCAAGAAACACCTTCCCACTTTCACTGTGACCTGGAAACTATAATGAGAGCAGAAAGTTCCAAATGAGCCCAGGCCAGAGGACTGGGAGCCGGCAGCCCTCACCAGCCAGAGGTGTGGGGAACAGGCCTGACCTTCCTCCAGCAGAGTTTGCCAGACCTGGCTCCTCAATAATCTCCACACCCAGCACTCTCACACAACACCACACACAGACACACCCCGTGACCACCACATACTCATGTACACACCCACCACCACACTCACACACCACCACACACGGTCACACCCCGTGACCACCACATACTCATGTACACACCCACCATCACACTCACACACCACCATACACCACCACACACAGACACACCCTGTGACCAACCACACACTCATGTACATACCCACTACCACACATTCACACACCACCACACACGGACACATCCCATGACTACCACCACACACTCACACACACGGACACACCCCATGACTACCACCACACACTCATGTACACACCCACCACCATACATTCACACACCACTACACATTCACACACCACCACCACCACCACACACAGCACACCCTGTGACCACTACACACTTATTTATGTACACACCCACCACCACCACACACTCACACACCACCACACATGGACACACCCTGTAACCACCACAGTCATATACACACCCACCATCACCACATACTCACACACACACCCCATGCCCACCACATACTCCTACACATACATACCACCTACACAATCACATACAGACACACCCACCACTATCACACACTTATACACAAACACCCCAGCACAACACACTCATTCACACACCCCATCACCCCCACACCCTCACCACACATTCGTACACACACAGTCCCTCTTGTAAGGAAAGTACCGGGCCCTTGGACTGTTTGGGTACTTTCCCGGTGGTTACTGCTGTTAGGTACCATCCAGTCAGTTCTGACTCATAGCAATCCTGTATAGGGTTTCTGAGGCTGCAAAGCTTTTTGGGAGCAGAAAACCTCATCTTTCTCCAACAGAGCAGTTAGTGGGCTGGAGCCATCGACCTTGGTCAGCAGTCCAGTACTTACCCTACAGAGCCACTGTGCTCCCACTTTCCTGATAGGCAACAGCATATTTAGGAAGCCGTCTCTCCTCCTCCTCTATTCAAAGCCTAGTGGGTCTTTGAGGTCTTCTCTAGCCCCTCCTTAGAGACACATCACTGACTGATTACTTAGCCCATGCTGACCTCCCAGGGCCAAGAGAGTTCAAGATTTTGGTATCCTCGTTAAGAAAATATTTCCTTACTTGATGTCACGCTGAGTAGCACATTGGAGATGGCAGACACCACTCATCTCTCTCCTAGCTAGAGTAGAACCCTCCTGAGTGTCCATTTCTCTGTATTTCTCCTCAGCACATACATTTCCTCATCTCAACAATTTCTCCTTCCCCTTCTCTCTTCTCTCTTAACGCTATGCAACAGTCACCCCGGACACAACAGAGATCTCTCAGTGCCTAGAAAGTGAGCGAGGTGTGAGATGGGAGGGGAGTTACCTCTATTTTAAGGGCATCTTTGGACCTCAAGACCCTCTGCAGGGAACAGAGAGAGTTGACAGGGCATAGGGATGGGGGTCTGCAACATGTTCTCTGTGTGTTTGTTCCTACACACTGTTTTTGTTCTCATCTCTGTAACCAGAAAACCAAGAACCAGTTTAACGAAAAAGCATATGAGTAAGCCAACACCCCAGTTTTGTTTAAAAGATAGAACAGACATTAAATTTGGCATCGAAGACAAAACAAGAAGAGCAGGAAGAAAAGAACAGAGACTAAAATGTTTGTAGTTAGTTCAGACTGCATGCTTAGAGGTAGGTGATCTCTACATATTCATTGTTTTTCAATATTTTCCAGATTGTATATAACGGTGTTTGTTGTGGTTGTGGTATATCATTGAGTCAGTTCCGACTCATATGACCCTGTATAGGGTTTCCAAGGCTATAAAGCTTTACAGGATCAGAAAACCTTATCTATCTTTTCCTGAGCTACTGGTAGATTCAAACTGCTGACCCTGAAGTTAACAGTCCAACTCATTCATTACCGATTACGATACCAGAGCTCTTTGTAAGTAATGAATATGTATTTGTAATCAGAGGGTAATAAAGATTTAATAGCAGAGGAGTAGATGGAATAAAGCACAAACCACTGTTTTCCTTCAGAGGATCTTCCCTCAGTCAGGCTCTCAGAAAGTTCAACATGCAAGGCACAATTCTTGCAAGGTCACTACCAGGCCTGGACACATCTTCAGCCCAGCACCCTTAACAACTTAACATACACACTTGCTCTCATTCTCTCTCTTTCTCTCCTCCATCTTTCCTTCTCTCTCATGCATGCTGACCTGAAAGGCCGAGCATCTGCCTTCCACATACATTTTAAATCATCTCCAAAGTTGTCCACTCTCCATACAAACGAAAGCATTTCTAGAAAGCCAAAAACTGTTCCTTATGAGTGTCAGTTGGTAACCTAAGTATCAGGAAAGGAACTGAGGTGACTTTTGCAAAATGCATGGTAGGCTTGATCCCAGGAGCTGGTCATAGGAGAATCAGCAGGTTTCACGAGCAGAGACACAGTGTAACTGAGGAGTGAGATGAGAAGGGACAAGATAGGGGCCCATATGTGGCAAGAGCATATTTGAAGCCCTAAGTTAGGTTCACAGCCAGGACATGGTGAGCGCAGCAGCGGGGGGCTGCACCAGCCAAGAGAAGAAGCCAGGATGCCGAGAGACATGGGTTGGGAAAACAGCATCCAGGCAAATCCAAATTCTCCCTGACTTCGAGTCACCCTTCAGTCCCCAAGGGCCAGGACCCTCTATTCTATCTGCATATGGTGGGATGAAATCACAGCCAGAAATTATCTGGCAAACAGTTTGGAACTGGAACCACTGACTTCTGGTTCAGCCATGAAGTGCCGAGTTCCTCCAAAGTGACAGGGAATCTAGATGATATGAGAAAGCAAAAAGTATCCTGAAGGCTTCTGGAACAGATGGCAGATCGGGTGAAAGTGTAGTGACGAGCTCTGCCGAGAACAACACAGAATACAGGACCAAGAAGGCTCAGGGAATGGTCCCAGTACTCTGAACCACATATAAAGGAATATTTAGAAGGTTGGAAGACTTACAGCTTGGGAGTTTGTGGCAGAAGCAA